ATTGAATGAGTATTTCATTGAAAATGCAATGTTTGGCCAAAAATGAGATCCAAATTGCGATTATTATTAATTTACAAAACACTGATTATAAGTACAAATTATGAGTAGTTTTCCCTTTAAATGCTCGGAGTTTTTGGTGAATTTTTAGTCTCATTTTACGTGCAATACATACCAGTCCCATGGGATCGGTAGTCAAATGATTGTAATTTAAATTACAAATATACCAATTTTACCTGCACCTTTAAACTCATATTGAATTTTGTATACAGTATTTGTTTGCTATTTATTTAAAATTATTATTTTTTATGTTAAAACTTATGACTTGAACATTTATATAATTAATGATTTATTGCTGGATATTAACCTTCGTATAAAATTGATAATTTTTATTTTTTAAAGTTTTTTTTATTTTATTATCAAATAATTTATACATTGAATTTCAATGAACTTTTGTTTAGGCTATAGTTGCGCCTAAAATATATTTTGTTTAATTGATAATTAGTTATATAAACCCAGTTTTGAGGCATACTTTTGACACTTTAAGAGTTGACACAAAATGCTGACAATAATCACCAAAACATTACAATTGCAACAAAAAAGTTGTTTAAATTTGTGTAAAGTCTCCGCAAATGTCTGGACTCAACACAACGGCTCCAGGAGTTTGTCCACTACTCCGGAGGTATGCGTTTATCTCTTATGATTGATACTTACCATTGTTGCGATACTCATGATAATTACTGGTGATATGTATCTGAAGGCAAAGCCAAATGAATACAAATACAGTCTCAACGGTAACGGGAAGTTGACATCAGATCAGCAAAAGTTCTACGAAGAGAACGGCTTTATTGTCGTCAAGAATCTGATCCCAAAGCATGACATCCAGAAGTATCTGTAAGTATTGCCACCGAAACACTCCTTTGGATCAACTCTTAACCATAAAACCCATGATAACTGCTAAACACAGGCAGCGCTTCAACGACATCGCCAACCGTCGCGTACCGACCCCTCCCGGCCTAACCGTCCAGAAGGAGGTAAAGGTGGCCAAAGAGGACCAAAACGAGAACACAGTTTACAAACTACAGGACCTGTTCTTCGACGAAGTGATGTTCGAGTACTGCAAACACCCGAATGTCTTGCCATATGTGGAGGCCTTCTGCGGACCCAATCTGATGGCCATTCACACGATGCTAATCAACAAACCGCCCGATTCTGGCACCAAATCCTCGCG